GGTCGTTAAGGCCACTCTCAGGGTTAATGATTTGCCAGAAGGACTCACAGGGCCCAGAAAAGCTGTTATACTCACAGTTATGGTTTGTTCCAGCAAAAGAATACGGATTAAAAGAGGCAAAGGAAAAAGGTGCATCAGGTGGAGTCCAGCTGCACTGGACCAGTTCCACGCTTCCGGCTGTCCTTCCAGTGGAGTCACATGAACAGAGCTTAATTCTCTTGGCGATGATGTGTGACGTGTACAAAGTGTCCCCGACCAGGGAAACTCACCAATGCCTTGGTGCCCAGGGCTTTTTATACGGGGCGGAGGAGAGGTCAGTCACATAGGCATACAGTGTATGTGTGAGATTGGCCTTAGCTACTTGGTCTTCAGCTCCTCCTCCTCCCCATCCCAAGAGGTCAAACTGATAAAATCACACTGTTAGCATTACTATATGGCATGGCCCAAAGTCTCAGAGACACTTTTATCAGGCAGGGCAGGATGCCCCGAGGGTTTAGAGGAGGAAGGTAAGAGACCATTCTGAGACCTTTGGAAAGTGGATGTTTTGGGCAACTCAGGCCTCCTGAATTATCCATTTATTGCACATATTTGTAAATTTTTGTTTGAACAATCTAGATCAACCATTTTTTAAATTTATTTTTTTATTGTTGATAGTATTACAGATATCTCCCATTTCCCCCTCTTCTTCCCAGTTCCCACCCACCCACCCTCAGGTCTTCACTACCCTATTACCCTTGACCATAGGCTATGCATATAAGTATATATAAGTTCTTTGGTTTATCTCTTCTTATCCCCCCAACCCCACTTAAGGTATTTTAGTCTAATCCATGCCTCCCTGCTTTGGGTCTTATTTTGTTGGTCAATTCATTTTGTTCATTAGATTCCACAAATACTAGTGAGATCATGTGATATTTTCTTTCTCAGTTTGGCTTATTTCACTTAGCATAATATTTTCCAGGCCCATCCATGCTGTCCCAAAGGGTAAGAGATTCCTCTTTTTAACAGCTGCATAGTATTCCATTGTGTAAATGTCCCACAGCATTTTTATCCATCCATGTACTGATGGGCACTTGGGCTGTTTACCAGGCACATATAATAACACTGCTATGAACATAGGGGTGCATATATTCTTTGTTTGGTGTTTTGGGGTTTTTAGGATATATTCTCAGAAGTGGGATCACTGGGTCAATTGGGAGTTCCATTTTTAATTTTTTGAGCAAACTCCATACTGTTTTCCAGAGTGGCTGCATAGTCTGCATTCCCACCAGCAGCAAACTAGTGTTCCCTTTTTTCCTCATCCTCTCCAGTACTTGATTTTTGATAGCCATTCTGACAGGTGTGAGGTGATCTCATTGTGGTTTTAATTTGCATTTCTTTGATAATTAATGACTTTGAGCATTTTTTCATGTGTCTCTTGGCCATCTGTATGTCCTCTTTGGAGAAATGTCTATTTAGAGCTCTCCATTTTTTTAATTGGATTGTCTATTTTTTTGTTGTTGTTGAGTTGTATGAGTGCTTTACATAGTATTTTGGATATTAATCCCTTATCAGATGTATCATTGGCAAATATGTTCTCCTATTCAGTGGGTTCCCTTTTCAATCTGATGGTTTCTTTTGCTGTGCAGAAGCTTTTCATTTTGATGTATTCCCATTTGTTTACTTCCTTAGTTCCCTTTGCCCGAGGACAGCGGTTCTCAACTTGTGGTCGCGACCCCTTTGGGGGTCGAACGACCCTTTCACAGGGGTCGCCTAAGACCATCGGAAAACATAATTACATATTGTTTTGTGATTAATCACTATGCTTTAATTATGTTCAATTTGTAACAATGAAATTGGGGGTCACTACAACATGAGGAACTGTATTAAAGTGTGGTGGCATTAGAAAGGTTGAGAACCAATGCCCTAAAAGATGTATCCATAAAAATATTGCTACATGAGATGTCTGAGATTTTATTGCCTATGTTCTCTAAGATTTTTATGGTTTCATGTCTTACATTTAAGTCTTTTATCCACCTTATATTCTTGTTTGGTGTAAATTAGTGCTCTAGTTTCATCTTTTTGCATGTGTCTTTCCAGTTTTCCCAGCACCATTTGTTGAAGAGGCTGTCTTTACTCCATTGTATGTTCTTGCCTCCTTTGTCAAGTGTTAATTGAATGTAATGGCTTGGGTTGATTTCTGGGATCTCTGTACTGATCCATTGGTCTATATGCCTGTTCTTGTGCCAGTACCAGGCTGTTTTGGTCATAATGGCTTTGTAGTATAGTTTGATATCTGGTATTGTGATCCCTCCTACTTCGTTCTTCTTTTTCAAGATTGCTGCAGCTATTCGGGGTCTTTTATGGTTCCATATAAATTTTTGGAGTATTCTAATTCTTTGAAACATGCCATTTGCATTTTAATAGGTATTGCATTGAATTTGTAGATTGCTTTGGGTAGTATAGACATTTAATGTTAATTCTTCCAATACATGAACATGGCTTATGCTTCCATTTGTTTGTATCCTTCTTTCTTTTTTCAATGTCCTATAGCAGTGATGGCGAACCTATGACACGCATGTCAGAGGTGACACACGAACTCATTTTTTGGTTGATTTTTCTTTGTTAAATGGCATTTAAATATATAAAATAAATATCAAAAATATGTCTTTGTTTTACTATGGTTGCAAATATCAAAAAATTTCTATATGTGACACGGCACCAGAGCTAAGTTAGGGTTTTTCAAAATGCTGACACGCCGAGCTCAAAAGGTTCGCCATCACTCTGTCCTATAGCTTTCCAAGTACAGGCCTTTTACCTCCCTGGTTAAAGTTTATTCCTAAGTCTCTTTTTTGTTGTTGCAATGATACATGGGATTGCTTTTTAGTTTCTCTTTCTGAGAGTTCATTATTGGTGCATAAAAATGCCATAGATATGTGGATATTGGATTTTGTATCCTGCTACCTTGCCAAATTCATTAAGTCTAATAGTTTCCTGGTAGAGTCTTTAGGGTTTTCTATGTACAATATCATGTCATCTGCGAATAATGGCAGTTTTACCTTCTCCTTTCCAATTTGGATGTCTTTTATCTCTTCGTGTCTGATTGCTGCGGCTAGGACTTCCAGGACTATGTTGAAAAAGAGTGGTGAAAGCGGACATCCTTGTCTTGCTCCTGTTCGCAAGGGAAACAGTTTTTGCTCATTGTATATTGGCTATAGGTTTGTCGTATATGGCCTTTATTACACTGAGGTATGGTCCTTCTAGTCTCACTTTACTGAGAATTTTTATCAAAATGGTGCTGAATTTTGTCAAATGCTTTTTCTGCATCTACTGATATCATGTGGTTTTAATCTTTCAATTTGTTATATCACATTTATTGATTTGAGAATATTGTACTAGCCTGTATCCCTACAATAAATCCTACTTGATCATGGTGTATGACCCAAACTGGGCCCACCAGCAGAGAGCACCGGAACTGAGAAAGGTACCCACATAATATCTGGCTGTGAAAAGCAGCAGGGTTGCTGTTTGCCAGGGAGAGATGGCTGGAAATGCAGACCTTCTTAAAAGGCCAACACACAACATTTTGAGTGCAGCCACTCACCTTGGGCTCCAGCAGAGGGAGGGCAGAGTGAACTGGAGATGCATAAATGGAAGTCAGGGTTGGGGGGTCTGGGATTAGAGCTCATTAGGCAGACACCCCCGTTTCCTGTGCTGAATCTTTGCCTCATGCTGCAGAGGTCATCTTTCTCAGGCAAACTTGCTGTCCTGCTGTTTTTGCCTTGGGAGATGACAGTTCACCCATTCTTTGCCCCCACCCTGTAGAGCAGTGGTTCTCAACCTTGGCTGCACATTAGAATCACCTGGGAATCTTTTTAAAATCCTGATTTCTGGGCCTCATCCTCTGGAAATTGTTTCTTTGTTACTAATGTTGTGGCCTCACCCGATAACAAAGAAATAGAATTTCCAGAAGATGAGGCCCAGAAATCAGGATGTTAAAAAGATTCCCAGGTGACCTAATGTGCAGCCAAGGTTGAGAACCACTGCTCTAGAGTTTCTGAGGCCCATTAAGAAACTGAGAATAACAATTAGCCTCCAAGCAGAAGCAACTGTCCCACCCTGTTGGAAAACCTCTCACCCCACGTGCGGACAACTGCTTGAGGCTACTCCAGGCTGAATCCAGTCAGTCTGGAGTCTTTGCCAGGTCTAGTTAGTCAGAAACAGCAGTTTGGGTCCCCATCCCGGACTGCTTAGTGAAGCAAAAGCCAGCAGGACCAGTTCTGTAGGGAAAGGAAGTACAGCTCAGAACAGGGTCAATCAAGGTGTGAGACTCAAGGCAGATGCACTCTGGGCTAAGGAGTCCCGACCACTGGACAGCTGGCACAATGACATTGGGGTTGAACCTCAATGGCAGCAGGTTGGAGGGGAGATCCCTCTCACACACAGGACATCAACAATGAAGTCTCGATTCCCATGTCAGGGCACATACAAGAATCAACGAATTAATGCATAAATAAGTGGAACAACAAAAAGCAATGTTTTTCCCTCTCTCTCCCTCTAAAATCAAATAAATGTTTAAAAAGATAATTTAAAAAAAAGATATTAATAAAAAACAATGAAGTCTCAATTACAACAGGAGAGGCCAAACAACGCACACAAGAGGCATTCCTAGAGCATCCTGCTCAGGTGAACAAAGAGACCACACCACTGGACCCCTCAAGACACTTTCTACATAAGGCCATCCCACAAAGACTGAGGCAAAGCAGTTCTCTCTAATACATAGAAGCAAATATAAAGAGATGAGTTTCCTGCAAAGAAGATTCCAAGATGCCTCTCCCCATAAAAAATGTGGTGTAGAAGACCCCGAAGCAAGGAAAGCAGAGCTACAAAAGCGGGGGTTAAATAGTTTGACTGTCTTGATTAATAAGGGGAATATAAAATCTGAATGCCCTCTAATGTTCCAAAATGTTGTCATCATGAATGGTTTGTAACCGTATCTTTTTCCTTCCTTCCCCTATGATTAGATCTCAGTCTGTGGTAGAAGCTGGGACCCTGAAACATGAGGAGAAGGGAGAGAATGAGAACACTCAGCCACTCTTGGCTCTGGACTGAACCCCGAGTCACTCCATGTTCCCGCATATCGCCAGCCGCCGGTGGTATCAGCCGCCTAGGAAGCACATGCGCACTGACCCCACAGACAGGTACGGCTTGACCCAAGGCTCTCCACTCCTGCCACCCAGTAATGACTGTCACCAGCCATTGGTCGAAGCAGCCAAAGTTGAACAAAGACTTGAGAGATGCTTTTTCCCCCCCAATGAGGGCATTGGGTAGAGGATAAAGCAAGGCAGTTACGTAATCAAGATTTTCCTCCCCCACATTTATGGTATTAAATGCATTACTAAATTTGATGCACACACTGCATTAGAACAAGGATTTTTCTGAGGCATCGCCCAGAGACCTTCTCCCATTTTTGCAATTTAAGATTAAGTGCATTTCTGAGTAGATACATCACAATTGTCAAGTTCAATGTAGTGCAGAGCCCTGAGACAATGGTATCTCCAGTAATTTCCATTCTTATTGAATTATTTTCTTTGACCTCATCACCAGCATCAAGTTATTCAGCCTCAGAGCAAGTTCTCTGAGGCCTGGCTATATTCAGAGGCTGCTTATTTTGATATCCTGCAAAAATGATTTTGACATCACATCTTTTGTCAGGCTACCAGCTGATCATCATGAGCTGACATTAAAAGAAGGCACATGATGTGAAATATGATTATTTCCTCTTAGCAATGTGACTTCCACAGGCAATGTGTGTCTGCAGATGGGGTCCCATTGGAAACATGTCAGTGATTTATAAATCCATTCACGTTGCCTCACTTGGGTCACTACAGCAAAGCAAAGTGCCACTAAAGCATTTAACTCCCACCTCCCTCTGCAGCCAGTGAAAGGTGTGGCTGTTGCTGGAGGAAGACCCTCAAGGATGGCTAAATAGGCAAGTACTGAAAATAGGAGAAAACTAGGAATGCAGGACGAAATGCCAAAGATCATTGTATTTCTTTGTCTATTCTCCTTGGAAATGGAGCCCCCAACTATCCATTCAAAGGAAATTAGATAAAATTAAAAATATCATAGGACATGATATCCTTACCTGTGCCATTTTTTCCCCAAAACCAGCTGTATGTTTTTAGATATCTCAGCCATTTGCATGACATGGCCATTCATGAGTATAACCAGTGGGTGCTCAATGCCAAATAAAAATATTTTAGTTAATGGGCAGTACAATATGATTTCACATTTTAAGAATTTGGGAGGGTTAACTTGTTAGCTAAAAATTTCAAAGGAAAGAGGTGATTCAACTGGCCATAAATCACCCTCGATGGCTATTATTACTAATTTTTTTCTACTGGTAGATAATTAACAGAAGTAATTTTTGTATTCACCCTTGAAATAAAATTGAAATAGAATTAAAAACATTTCTCAATTGCATTGCAGTATTAAAACCAATTTTTTTGTGTAGACATTTCAGATAACAAAATAATATTGAAATAATTCTACCAATGCAGTGACTGAAATACTTTTCTTATACACCATGACATTGGGAAGAAAGATGAAGAAGAATTAAAGTGAATTAGAAAATCCATTTTATTACCTGGGTTTATAAGGCAGTTGTGGAATCCAAGTACTTAAAATGCTATTGGAGTCAGTTATTGCCAACCCTCTGCAACAGTAAAAACAATTCTGGCTTTTCAATTGGCAATCTTTAGAATCCTGTAGTGACCTGATTTTAAATACCATGTGATAATTGCTAAGAGCTAGTTTTCACTCTATTCCATGGCTTCATTACATGAATGTAAGATGATGTTTCAATGATGACAACTTACACTTTGAATTTCTTTGTGTATGCAATATACACACAAGAACCAAATTCTGTGACATGAATGTTACCACATGAGCACTGGATTGTATTGTCCTTTGTCAGTCATTTCCTCTGTTCAATAAATACTGAAGGACACAAATACCTTTTTCTTTTTCAAGAGTTTACTTTTCCTTCTTCTGGAGTTTGATAATTAATTTGATATCCTCCCACCCCCCAATACTCCATCTATTTTAGCGAGTTTTCTGGACATTGGCAAAACAGAAGGGAACACAAGAAATATTTTGCAAACTCTTCTCCTGGAAGCTAATATGCTTAAGAACAAACAAAGACGCATTTCCATTTTAAAGAACTGTCTTTTAAATGGCATACAAAAGCATCCTCCTTTGTCCTGAGATAGAAAAGAAGGCACACATGTTTTCCTACCTGTGAATGATATCTGGTAACCTCTGTGTAATTTTGCCAGCATTTTTTGTTCATATTGGCTTAAAGTTCAGTGCATTAATATTATTACATTCTTACAGCTAACATTTCTAGTTAGCTTTAATTAAAAAAAAAATGAATGCATTCATAATCTATCCAATTAATGACATGGTCATCTTTGGAATGAGTAGGCCATTTTTCAATAGTTATTTCTATGCAGTGTTCAATAGTAAAAAACTATGGATAATAATTGCTATTTCAAAATGATGTTTAAAGGGCAGGAGTTGCTCAAGCCAGGCAGCTGGAAGAGTCTTCCAAACTCTTTCAAAGAGGAAAGCAATCTCGACATCCTACACCCAGGACCGAGACCCTGGCACTCCTGCCTTCCACGTTTTGCAACACTGATGGGAATCCTCTCAAGGATTCTGTCACTCGCATGGATCTACAATAGGCAAAGACACTCTGGATTCCGGCCCTGTCATGGGCAGCAACAGGCCCGGGGCCAGAGGTCCTAGCAGCCACCTATCTACCTGATCCCAAGAGAGAATTTTCACTTGGACAATTTTTACATTATTTTTTTTTCAAGCATTAAAAAAACTTACATGAGGCATTTTTATAACTCCATATAAAATAATTCCATGTCCCTTTTTGGTGTAAAAGCTTCCTCTTAGAAAGAAATGCCATTTTGACAGTATCTCCACCATTCTCACGGTGAGGAGAGAGAAATGAAGACACCAGCTCTCAAAGAATAAAAAAAAGCAGACCCAGTGGGCAGGGAGCTGCACAGCTCACATATGCTGGCATAATTACATTGTTTTCCTTCGTATTAGGAAATTGCTTCCTTCATGAGTGTCTTTGCCGAAAAATAATTAAAAGGGGAAGTCCGAGTTCACCAGGAAAGTTATCATGAAACCGCTAGAAGTGAAGCATTTACACAGCTTGTCATTAAAATCAACAAAAAAGTAGTGGTATGTGATGACAAAAATCGTCTAGCTACCCTAGAAAAATATAATTGCATAGGAACATTACAAGCTAACGCAATCCATTCACAGTCTCTACCTGTATTCTCACTACACACTGATTCAGCCTATTCTAAACGGAGAAAATATCTTTGGCTGGCAAGGTAGAAGCTATCATGTATTTACCTGAAATACGGGCATCAGACCAGCGCTGTCTGGAATGATATACAGCAGGGTCTTTTCTAAGTGAATTGCAGTGGGGCAAGTATTCCCTTTCACGTCTTCTAACCCTAGGAGGAGGTTTGGACATCTTTAGGCGGCAAATCAAGGAAATTAAGGGCGTTGGTGCTCGAACTTCTCTCCCCACACCCGAGCCGACAGAACCCGAAAGGCAGCCCCTCTCCGGTGTGTCCCAAACCCGCACGACACGCTAAATCGCAGGCAGGCTGCGTCTCTGCTGGGGTGTCAGCTCTGGGTGCCACACATCCACGATGAATATCAGCCGGAAAGACGTGGCGTCCTGCCACACCTCGTGCTCAAAGGAGTCGTCAAAGATGAGCACCTTGCCTTCTTCCCAGGTCCTGGAACAGAGAAACGCGGAGGCTTGCGATTCCGATGCCGGGGGACCGGTGCATGTCTATGTTGCGGGAAGGCATGGGGAGAAGTGGCCCTACGTTCACCTCCCTGCTCACGCTAGGGCCTGGGCTAAGTGCCTTGTGGGCATTATTTCACTTGCTCCATACAACAGTCCTGCAAAGCCGTTGGTATCAATGCCAGTTTTATAAGCAAAAAGGCTGAGACTCGAGGGGATTAACAGGCCAAGGTTACATAGAATTAGGCGGTAGGGCTGGGTTCTGAACAAGGCAGCCAGCTTCCGCGACACCATGCTGACTCCTCCAGAGCAATACATCAATATCACTGGGGAGGGGGAGGGGCGGGAAGGGGTTAGGGGGGACGGTTTCTTTAGGAAGGGGGTCGCTGTACCGTTGAATAATTCAGTGGTAAAGCAATACACGCAGTGTGTAATATGTGCGGGCTCAGTACAAGCCAGCTGACTCTGAGTGCAAGTCTGTCCAATTAGAACAGCGGTTCTCAACCTGTGGGTCGCGACCCCTTTGGCGGTCGAATGACCCTTTCACAGGGGTCGCCTAAGACCATCCTGCAGATCAGATATTTATATTATGATTCATAACAGTAGCAACATTACAGTTATGAAGTAGCAACGAAAATAATTTTATGGTTGGGTCACAACATGAGGAACTGTATTTAAAGGGCCAGAAGGTTGAGAACCACTGATCTAGAGCAAGTATGTCAAACTCGCGGCCCGCAGGCCGATGCTTCATTTATACGGCCCGTGTGAGCCTTTGAGTTTGACATGTTTGATCTAGAAAGAGAAGAAGGCTCATTGACCAGATGCACGGGCTCTGGGGAGACATCACTGCAGAAGGCAGCCCTGGAACTGGGAGGCAGTGTCTCCAGACCAAAGAAGGGACAGAGATGAAAGGGTCTGGATTAACATCACCCACCCCAGTCTACATGTTCACAAAGGAAGAGAAAGTATCCAGCTGAACATGGCTTTGTCGTCACAAACATCCATCCTCAGAAGTGATGAATAAGAGAGAAAATGGTGGGGGCAAACATACTTGGTCTCGTTGGCACACCGGATCTTGCAGCCTTCCTTGGGAATCACCAAGCCCAGGTGCATTCGGAGCCTGCAGTTCGTGGGCCCCGTGTGCGGCCACACGTGAGTTCCTGGGTGCATGATGGAATATTTGATCTGTGCAGAGAATATAACACACCGTTCTTCCATTTATCAAGCTGTGGGGGAATTGCTAAATTAAAGTGACAGTACAAAATTACTGTCAATTTGGATTAGAGCCTTTGTAAGACTCAGAATTAATATTCTCCTCTCATTTCTTTGTTAAGGAATTAAAAATAAGTACTCCCTTTTTGCACAAAGCTATATATACACTGAACATTTTCACCCTCAATTCTGACATCAACCACATGAAATTGTTTCATTAAAAGAGGCATTCGTTGGGCCAAAGGACATAAACACTTGTTTATAATCATCCACATTCCCTTATTGCCAATAAGCAACTGTGTTCTTTCCAGCACTGAAAACACTCTTGGTACCTGTCCTCTCCGGCATCCTGTTGTCTCAGGGAATTTATCTAGTAAAGAACAGGTTTTAGGAGCTCCTTTGCAGGCATTTTCATTTTTTCGTCCTAGAACAATAAATGATAAAAGCATTGTTAGTGAACGAATCACAGTACAGCTCCGACTCATCCTGTTTGGACCACATGTGATCTATAATGTCATGCTCACTGTGGGAATGAGAAGGCTGCATACACACACGGAGACAATGTGCTTTGCTCCACTAGATACTGACTTGCAGAGCAAGGACTAGAATTCTCCCCTCACTGGTGGCCTATTTGACTAGCGATGTCTAATAGTTATTTCCCCCTTGAGGCAGGCAGAACAGTGGATGTCAACATCTAAGCCCAGGAACCTATGATACATTAACGGAGAGAGGAAATAAAGGTTTCAGAGGGCACTGAGATTTCTAATCAGCGCATCTTAAAATATAGAGATTGTCCTGGATTAATTAAATGTGCCCAATGGAATCATAGGGTTCTTAAATGCAGAAGAGTCAAGGTTTGAATGATGCAGAATGAGAAAGACTTGACGGGCCATTGGTGACTCTGACGATGGAAAGGGCTGCCAGCCAAGGAATGTGGGCAGGCTAAGCTGGAGCCTCCAGAAGGAATGCAGCCCGATGACACTTCCATGCTCGCCCAGTGAGACCCACTGTAGACTTCAGAACTCTAACAATTCACATTATTTTAAGCCACTATGTTCGTGGTAATTTGTTACAGCAGCCACAGTAATATACCTGCCCCCACCCCCCAAAGAAGCTTATATTTCTAACCTAAAAATGCATTTCCAGGATTATATTAAGGAGTTACCTACACAATATTTTTCATTGGAATTTAATGAATTTTTCATTGTATAAATCATCCTTTATATATGGATAAAGCAGGATTTACATGAAGGTGGGAGGAGGTCTTTGAGAGATGATGTTTTCTAGGCGTCACTGTGTCTGAGACAGAATTTGGGACATAGTCTTGAGCATCTTAGGCTATGCAAACTTCTTCATCTACAAAATCGCTGTTTCTTAGGGAAGATGTGCTCAGGAATGCACACAGCATCATTTGCTGCACTTAAAAAAATCATGTTGGCAAAAAGCTGACAGTCACTTGAAATCATGTGATCCCTTGAAATCATGGATATTGCCTTGAAAATATCGCTTTAGTTCTCTTTCGTGTAAAGCATTTGGAAAGCATAACTGAGATAAACGACTGTGGTTATTAGTGCTTTAACGTACACCAACTGCTTATCATCCTCTCGATTCATTTCCTGTGTTGACGTTGTGCAACACATGGTGCTATTTCGTCTTCAAAATGGATTTACTTTGTACACGACTGCTGAGTTTAACTTGAATTTTCAAGGGAAGTGGAGAGAGATTTAAAGATAAAATTCCACGCTCCTCATTTTAAGGGTAGATTGCTAAGTTAATTCAATGAACACACACATACCGGAGCCCTGTCTGCGTGCCTTCGCCTGAATTCAGCTCAGGGAATCTGAGGCTGAATATGAACCACTTCCTAGTCTTGAAGAGCTCAGGGACCAGTTATCACTGTCCTGTCACTCCGGTCGGTCCTCATCTCTACCAGCTCTTACCCCTGGGATATCACTTTGGCAAGCAACACTATCTCCATTTGACAGGAGCAAAGAGGCTCAGGGAAGCTCCTCTCCAAGGCATTGAGGAGCACACGGTGGACTCTGCAGATACGCATACACGGCCGAGGTACTCTCTGTAGCTTATCATTTAACAAAATATTAGGAAATCAAAATACTATTATTTATATTTATCAAAATACACACGGGAGTATACACAGGCGTGCACACACATACATACATGCACACACACAAATAAATGTTCACATATAGTTTTAGAAAACTGAATGGAATTTGATAAGCCAGGTTTTCCCGGGCAGTTTCCTGTAAATTGGGGAATCCCGACCCTGGGAAGTGTCACCAGACTAGTGTCCACTTCCAAGGTATCACTAGCTGCGGAGAGTCTGGAAGCCGGGGCTCACCTTGCTGCCACAGCGTAAACTGGCTCCAGTCTCCCTTCTCCCTCAGGTTTTCATCCTCAGGCAGGAAGAGGCCTTTGGCTTTATCCATCACTGCGAGGCCTTCGTCGCGGATCAACTTCCAGTTTCTCTCTAAGGACTAGAGAGAAGATTCTGGTGTTAATGGACTGAAAATATGCCAGGTAGAACACCTTATCAAAATGACTCCCAGCTTTTCTTTTATCTGATTAATCAAGCAAGAAATTTTTCTCACTTCATTTAATTTTTCTTTTTTAAAGTTGACTTTTATTTAAAATCTATTTTTATTGATTTCATAAAGGAAGGGAGTGGGAGAAAGAAACATCAATGATGAGAATCACTGATTGGCTGCCTCCTGCAAGCCCCACACTGGGGATCAAGCTCACAACCCGGGCATGTGCCCTAACCGGGATTGAACCATGACCTCTTAGTTCACAGGTCAACACTCAACCACTGAGCCATGCCGACTGGGCTAACTTGATTTTTAGACAGAAAGGAAGAGGAAGAGAGAGGGAGGGAGGGAGGGAGGGAGGGAGGGAGGGAGAGAGAGAGAGAGAGAGAGAGAGAGAGAGAGAGAGAGAGAGAGAGAGAGAGAGAGAGAGAGAACACGAACAGAATATCGATCGCCCCCTACTGGAGATTCAGCCCTAAACATGGACATGTGCCCTGACATTGAACAGGCATCTTTTCTGTGCACATCACAACACCCCGCCAACTGAGCCACACTGGCCAGGGAGGCTCACACCATCCTCCTCCACCCATTGGCTGAGCTTGTTTCCACACCTTGGTTATTGTGAATAATGCTGCAATGAACAGGGATACAAATATCTCTTCGATATCCTATATTCCATTTCCTTTGGATGTATACCCACAAGTGGGATTGCTGGATCACACAGAAGTTCTATTTTTAATATTCTGAGGAATCTCCATACTGTTTTTCATAGTAACTGCACCAAATTTATATACTTCTGTTTCTGTGAAACCCACCCATCATCACCCGCTTTGTGCTGGTCACCTACCCATAAATAATTCCAATACTACTTTAATCCCAAGTAGGTAATTCATAAATAGCAAGTCCAAGATTTAATTTCAATACAGACACACTCAAAAGTCCTCACTTGGGCAGGTCCCCAGAGTGAGAGAATATGGTGGTTTTCTCAAGGATGCTAAGATTACAGAAAGGGAAAGAAGAAAAAATGCAGTCCAGATATTTACATCTTCTATAAAACATATCAATCACCAACAGTCCCTGCCGCTACGAGCCTTGTTCAAGTTGCCAGATAAATCTGTTAGATTCATGTTAAACTGTCACACGCGAGAGGAGAATTACCTCGCTAACACACAAAATTACTTTCCAAATGAGTGTTTTGGCACCTTCCCCTCACCTCTCCTGGTATTTTAGAAGTTTCTCTCACTTCTTTTGAAAGTACATTTTAGAGGCATCTTTGAAAAGAGCTGATCTTTTGTTACTGAAATAGGGCACAAAGCCCTAGGGAAAGCTGTTAAAGTAACTGCATCACTAAATAAAATTTTTGAAATGTTACTGAGGAGCAAGCTGCTTTTGTATGTGGCATGTCATTCCTGCCCCTTCTCACCTCCTCTTGGTGTCTCCAGGAAGTGTTGCTGAGGTCCTTTTCCAGGAGCAGTAATGATTTTTTAAAAACACGATTTTGTACCCCCTTGTCACACGTAGCACTCCTGGACCACCTGCGCTGCGAGGCCACGGACCTGCTCAGTAGGAATCAGGCACCGCACAGGTTTCTGATTTCCAGTATAAAATAGCCACTCATCACTTCTTTTAGGTTCAATACTGTGTCAGACAATTTTACAACGGGAAGGATCCTTGTTAATCTAGTGGACACTTTTCCCTTCAGGGATGAAGGAATAACTCTTGGTGCCGACATCTCACAGTCCAGTGGCCAGAAACTGTCTGCCACCTCCACGCGCCTCGACTGTTCCTACGGCACCTGCGGGAGGGGAGAGGCGAGGCTGTAGTGGCCCTGGGGACCCTACAGTGACTCTGGGGCACGAGGGTGCCTGATGGCTCCCGCCAGCTCTCTGGGTTACCGACACCTATGAGGCGCAGGTGCTGGTGCGGGGGGTCCTTGGGGAACAGAGCGCTCCCCACAGGACACTGGGCAGACCAAGGGGGTTCACATTCCCAACAGCTGGGAAAACCAGGCTAACCAAATACACACCTAGTAAACCTGGGGAAACAACGAACAACATAAGATAACAACAGTCACGATCTCTTACGTGGTCAACGTAAACATTTTTTCTACCAAAGTAATAACTACACTATGGCGGTCATTTCCAGCCAGTGCACCACAAGAATTTCTAGACACGCAATGCCTGACTAGTCAGTCAGGGGCGCCGACTTCTTTTTCCTTAGATTGTAAAAAAAAAAAAAAAAAAAAAAAAAAAAAAAAAAAAATGACAACAGCCAACACAACTATCGTTGGGTGTGAATGACTCAAAATTATATTGTGTGTGTGCTGCAGAATTGTAGTAATTGGTTTATGTGTGCCGTGAGATGAAAAAGGTTGAAAATCGCTCACTAGGGGATGCTTTTCAACTTTGGAAAGGCACAGCGGGGTCTCTTCATGGGCATTAGGGAGAAATCTGGGATGGGACCTGGTAATGTTATATTTAAGCAGAAACCAAGAAACCACATTGTGTGAAATTCACATAGTGATAGGGGATTGTGTGTGTGTGTGTGTGTGTGTGTGTGTGTGTGTGAGAGAGAGAGAGAGAGAGAGAGAGAGAGAGAGAGAGAGAGAGAGAGAGAAAGAGAGAGAGAGAGAGAATACACATTTTCTCTATAGTAATATTATTCAGTTTTCTGAGATGGCAAAAATGTCCATTTCTTTAGGAAATTCCATCAGAACTTGAAGGATGCCTACATTGTTAAAGGACTCATATGAAATATTACTTCCTTGACCCTAAGTTCATCCATTTCATGAAACTGAAGAGAGAGACATGGATAGGGTTGGCGTTTGAGTTGGTGGCCCAGAAAACAATAGCTTCTAATTCATATTTCTTCTTGTGGCTACACAGACTTCAGAAAGCAGAGTTGATTGCTTTTACAGTGCCACATGGCTCCATAAACCCATCATCAGCACTTGCCTGTTGAGTTAAACCTCAGCTGTATTTGGCACTGTAGTCACCCCACAAATGGATTTCCTAGTTTCAAGCCTCATTAGTCCCACAATACACTCCTGCTCTCTTTAATCCAAACCCTCCATCCAGTTCAGGGCACTTGGCTGATATTCTGTTCATCCCTCTTGAATGGTACATGTTTCTCTTTTACACCAAATTAGATTAACTCCTGCCCGGCCAGTGTGGCTCAGTGATTGAGCATCAACCTCTGACACAGGAGGTCACAGTCAATGCTTTATCAGGGCAGGTTGCGGGCTCGATCCCCGGTAGGGGGCATGCAGGAGGTAGCCGATCAATGATTCTCTCTCATTACTGATGTTTCTGTCTCTCTCCCTCTCCCTACTTCTCTAAAAATCAATAAAACATTTTTAAAAATTAGATTAAGTCCTAATTTTTAAAGCCTTCTCCCAAAACCGACTTCATGCAGAAAGTCTTTAGAGAAGCACACTAAACCCACACTAATTCTTATTTAAATACTAGAGGCCTGGTGCAAGAAATTTGTGCACTTGGGGGTGGGGGTCCCTCAGCCCAGCCTGCGCTCTCTTGTAGTCCGGGAGCCCTTGGGGTATGTCTGACTGATGACTTAGGTCCCACAGGGAGCAGGCCTACACTGTCAGTGGGACATCCTTAGAACTGCCACGGAAGTGGGAGAGGCTCCTGCCACCACCACTGTGCTCGCCAGCCATGAGCCCAGCTTGGGCTTCTGGCTGAGTGGCACTCCCGCTGTGGGAGCACACTGACCACATGGGGGCAGCTCCTGCATTGAGCGTCTGCACCCTGGTGGACAGTGTGCATCATAGCAACCGGTCGTTCGGTCGATTTGCATATTAGCCTTTTCTTATATAGGATTTCTTTTACTATTTTCATTGGATTAAAAAATACACTTTCTTTTAGTGCTTACAGCTCTTTTTAAATTTGTCTAGTAGGTTTTCTGGTTCTCACCAGGAGCCCACCCCCCGCACTACAACAAAGACAAATACACATTTTTTAAAAGTCAAATACTACCATAGTCTTATAATGGAGGCAGCAGTCTCTTACTCAACTCTTCCCCAGGCCTAAGTTCAATCCCAGCTATTTCCTGCACCAACTTAATGATACAATGTCTTCTTTCCCTTCGTCTTCATCGTGCAATACAGTTAAATCCACACATCGTTCATACACCTGGGTAAATTCACATTCAGGTTTTATAATATTTTGACAATGAGGTATCATTCACACTTGAGTTGTAATGATTACACTTCATTTCACATAATCCCTTTTCCTTGGCTTAATTTTCTAATGCACTTAGCATCTTTCTTCCTTACAGCAATGAAGGAGTGTGAGAAAAATCTCAACACTATTCTCCCCTTTGCCGAAAACATCATATAAGCTATTATTTTTCTTTCTCTCTCTCTCTCTTTTTTTCTGCAGAGAACCCGCCAGTAGCCATCTGCCTTGCTTTCCTCTGAACAGGTTGCTGTCTGGGCTTGCTGGACAACTGTCCTTGGCTTCCGCCTGGTATCGGGCTCCCTAATGAGTGAATTCTAGTCATTCCTGAGAAAGAACACACCACAGATAAAATTGAATTTCTGAACATTTCTGAAGCTATTCATACACTTGATTGAAGGCCTGGCCATGTGCAGAATTCTAGGCAGTAAATAACTTCCTTTTAGAATTTTGAAGCATTGCTCCATTGCATTATAACGTTTAGTATAGTGTAGTGTTTGGAGGTGTAAAATTTAGAGCCAGACAGCCTGGACGTGAAATCTGACTCTGCCACGTAATTAGCTGTGTGACATTGGGCAAGTTACTTAACCACTCTGTGCCTTAGGTTCCTCATTTATAAAGAGGGTAAAATGCTGCTACTTCCCTTAAGAGTCTCTAAGAAGATTAAATGTGCCGAAACCGGTTTGGCTCAGTGGATAGAGCGTCGGCCTGCAGACTGAAAGGTCCCAGGTTCGATTCCGGTCAAGGGCATGTACC